AAAAAAAAAAAAAAAAAAAAAAAAGTTTCTAAAAGAAAGGACACAAAAAGGTGCATTAAGGGTCTTCTCTGGAGCAACCAGTACAACTACAGTGTTGTCTGCCTTTTAACTTTGTTAAATGTTGGACCAGATAGAAACACCCCCCATATAGCCACAATAAAACGTATGAAAGCTGAATCAAATTGCACAAGGAACATTACGCGAAAATACAAGCAAACTTAGGGTGCATCACCTTAATAATCTCCATCAGAAATAACAACATAATTCAGCAATGGACTATATCTGTAACAAGAAAATATACAGTGGCACAAAATTAAACAATAACGCTTGGTCTCAATTAACAATTTAAATATTAGAAATATATAAAACATGGAAAAGCATCAGAAGTATATCAAATCATATAATTTATTTCTTGACATCTAAATCAAACTCGATTGGACCATAGAACAATACTAATGGACTATGAAGCACTGACACGCTATTTTTCAAAAAAGCACTTACCATGTTGATTAAATTCTTTAAAATTATTTATTTATATAGTATAAATTTAGTTCAATACTTGCTAATAATTTTTCTTGTTGAAATCTTTTAAATATGAGCACTTGTTTTTTATTTAATAATAACTTTGAATTAAAAATGTATAATATTTCTGAAAAATGAAAAAAAGATCATGGTGAGCTAATAGACTTCAAATATTGATCTTCCATATTCCCATAATCAAACGAACATGGATGGGAGGGATGGCTATTTTGAAGACTTCTCTTTCAAGAATGATGCATTTAACTAAAGCATTGAAAATCATGAATATAAAATCTCTCATTTTTGCAGTTCCTAAAAACCTTTTGTGGACCTACAGATGATTGAGTTCTCCCATAGAGGACACGGCAATATCAGATGGAGAAAGAGCATACCAAATTCAATGACCCCAAGCAATCAGAAGAATGAAAAGATAAAGCCATGAGAGGGTAGGGAGCCAACTGCAATTAGTTATTCAGCTACTTAAAAAATATAGATACCACTATGGCAGAGATTCCCTTATACCTACTATGCCGGGCACTTTGTTTTACAATTTACCTTAAAATTTCAATTAAACATCGAATAAATTTCAGCTGAAATCTTTTGTTTTTCCTGATAAGACACCACAACTCAATAAAGGGCAGCTAGGACTCCAACTTTTGCTCAAATAATTCCATTTTACCTGTCAAGGGATTGAGTAGCTTCGTAAATTCCCAAAGCTTTTGCGTATTGGTAATCAGAAATAGGGAAAGAGTAAGAAAGATACCATTCTCCTATCAGGTTGGCAAGTGTACATAAATGATGTTGGAGCCTTGCATTTCTTGAGATGTCACCAAAAACCTAGTTTAATGCAGCCAAATGATGTGCCCATTCATTGGCAATCATCAACGGCATTTACATGGATAAAGGTAGCATCAATCTCCTCTCCCTTTTCTTTGCAAGTGTCCGTCGTGAAGTTCTCAAACGTACAGGAAGAAAGATAGCAAGGCATATAATTATGAAGGATATCCAGTAATGTCTTAAGTAAAGGGAAATATACGATGATACCAGAAGCACGCTAAACAGCAAGGCCCAAAAAATAGCCACAGCAGCATCAATCCTGCTTGAATTCAAAAGCAAGATTTAAGTATAACATAAATAATTAAGAGAGTTATAGATAAAATGAAGTTACAGAATGGAAGCATTATCAGGAGTTAGATACAAATGGTCTATTACAGACCAAAATCTCATGTCATCCATCAAGGTACAAACTCTACAGGAAACGGATTCCAAAACGTCATGTTCTCTCTCCAGGAAAAATACTACTTTTAGACTTTTGTGGTTATTAATTTTGTTATATTGGTGAACTGGATTTTTGAACAAAAGAAAGAAATTTCAAGGTTTCTCTAATAAGTGGTAACTCATTAAAAGCTTAAGATAGGAAAAAGAAATTTCAAGATAGACTAAAGTATATTTCCTGTGTTTTTTATGCAATTGTCCATTTAAAGTTCTAGAATACCCAACTATCAAGTTTATTTATCCATAGTTTCTCATAAAAGAATAAGAACATGAAAAATGAACAATGGTGCAATAGGCATTGATGTTTGAGATTATAATGATTGTTGGAAGAGAGAGTAGTTAATGAAAAGCAAGAAGAAATGTAATTGCTCTATTGCATAACTTCAAAGTTCTAACTAGTCCAGGATCATATGGGCAAGGAATGCGATCAAGACTTGAGCTATAAATTTTAGTTCTATGTATGATCGAGCTAAGCTTCAATAAGTTCCATAATGCCTCTCAAGCTCCAGAATTCAAGACTCTACTGTGGCTATTTATTACATCACCAAGGGTGGAGGACCATGAACGATTCAAAACATACTTAGACAAATCAGAGACCTCATTTGTTCCACAGAGACACGATTTCCAATATCTACAGAGAGGAGAACAAAGTTACAAATTCTCTTGCTTCAAAAGATTGGGATCATCGACGCTATCAAGAATATGGACCACCAGACCTACCTCGATAGGTTAGGGTACTTGTGCAAATTGACAGACATGAACT